ATATATATTACTATATATATATATATATATATACTATAAATATATATATATATATTTACTATATATATATATATATATATATTACTATAAATATATATATATATATTACTATATATATATATATATATTACTATAAATATATATAAATATATATATATATATATATATATATATATATATATATATATATATATATATATATATATATATATATATATATATATATATATATATATATATATATATTAATATATATATATATATATATATATATATATATTACTATAAATATATATATATATATATATATATATATATATATATATATATATATATATATATATATATATATATATATATTACTATATATATATATTATTATACATATAGTATTACATATATAAAATTTTATATTGTACCATAGATGCTAGTTCTGGGTATTAAAATTGTGAAAACATTTTGATACAAAAAGAAAATATTTCGTATTATGATACTGCAGTTATAAATAATTATCCAAAAAAAGCTAAGTAGATAGAACTTATCATTATATAATGTTTTCATATGTTTGATCAGATAAAATTAATAATATTTCAGGATACAAAAGCGTTATTATTATATTAGATTCTATATCCCTTTTTAAACTCTGAATTATCAGATGCATGCTATTAGAATTATTATTATTTCATGGAACATTAGAGTTTATCTTGTATATCAAATCACACTTTTTATATGTAGTTACGTTTGTCTTTATTTAAACATATTTCAATTTCTTCGATAGAAAAGAAAATGTATATGTGGTCTATGTTCTATTGATATAATTTAAATCATTTCAATTTTTGCTGTAGACCTTTAGATTTCTTTCAATTTTTTAATAAATGTAGGGGGATTTAACTTTAGTGGTCTGAGATCTTTTCCGTAAAATAGAAAGTTGATCACTACAGAATGATTGGTCTCTACAAAATTAAAATAAATGTGGAATAAATTAATCATGCATTTGATATTATCAATTATTGTAACAATCTTCAACTATTTTTTCTTGTATTACTAGAATGTATAATAAAAATTAGGTTTAAATCCCTAACTAATTATATCAAGTATACTTTTATCCTTTTTGAACATTGCTAGTTTATTTGTGTGAAAATCAACTTTTGATTCTGAACTAAAACGAGTATTTTAGGCTGCATTGCATTATTCTGAACTAAAACGAATATTTAAGGCTGCCTTGTATTATCCTGAACTAAAACGAGCATTTTAGGCTGCCTTGTTTGTGACTAATCCTCAGTGTCCTGCAGTACGGAACGGACAACCCATGACTAATTTACTCATGGATGGAGGGAAAGGGGGCAGCTTCTGTTGGGACGGAGCACCCGTAGGTATAAGTCTTACTTGGCTCCGTGACGCTCTTTACAGTCGAATGAGACCGGGACCTATGGCTTAAAGTGGAATCCTAACCATTACAAACATCCATGGCACCGCCGGGACTCGAACCCAAAACCTGTGGCACCGAACGCCTGAGCGCTAGACACTCGGCCATTCAGGCCCAGTATTATTCGGCCATCAGACTTGTATTATTCTGAACCAAGACGGGTATTTTAGGCTACCTTGTATTATACTAAGGCAAACATGAGTGATATCTTACATCTGGCAAGAGTCTTACATCTATCGCGATTTCATGTTTTACAGGAATATGACCCGATATTCTTCAGTGCCTAAAAGATTGGCGAGGAGAGTGCTTGTTTTTTATTGCTTATTATAGTTTGCATTTACTTTCTGTTTTTTTTTCTTTCAAAATAAGTAACAGTGGTCATTTTTAGTGATAATAGCTGTGATATAGATGCGCTATACGCCAACATAGAATACGATTAACAAAAATGCCAGGGGATTTAACTATCAATAATGGGAAAAGAAGATACATTTTGAGATTATGTATGTCTTGAAGAAAGCTAATTTATTGATATTATTCTCATACGTTTTAAACACCTTCATTCTTGAATGTTTTCCTTTCGTATTTGATTACATCTTTTCCTTCCATTTCATGTTTTAATTAATTTTTTTAGATTAATTTATATTCACAAAGATTGTTATATAAACTGTGCAATATAAATGTACGAGTGCTTTTATGACTATATTACTAATTCTTCTTTTAATACATATTAAATAATACGTTATTTAAGAAATGTTATAATAGAGATTTTTAAAGTAGTAGAAACAAAAAAATCCTTTACCATTTTCTAAATAGGGACGTCTTTAAAGTTAAAATGCAAAATCTGGAATTAGGACGAAACGAGATTGAGTTTCACAAGCAATATTTATCAGAAAAAACATTGAAAAGCCTACGTTTTTACTACAGCGTGTTTTCTTCAAAGCTGTAAATAAAGTTAACAACGAAGACAGTTTCGTTTTTATTTGGAAAAAAGCGGCTTACGAGTTGTTTGTTTTATACGAATTTGTTTTCTGTGTTGCTGTTAATGTTGTAGTTCTTTGCTGAAAATTGAGAGAAAAAAAAAATTAACTACTGCGTTTATTGGAAATATTTAATATAAAAAAAGCCTTATTTATTCAAAGAGAATTCGCGAGATTCTTTGCTCATTTTTACATTAAGCTTTTCTTCCGAGCAATAAATTATGTGCCATTCAACAATACTTTTCTCGATGTGCTTTAGAGTTTATTTTTTTGGAGGAGAAAGATATTTTAGTTCCAGTACATAAAAAACATTTCTTGCTGCGCGGAAATTCTCAACAAACATGCTTTTTTTGTGTCTTTAAATTCGAATTTAGGGACTTGATCAATAGTTTTAAAAATAATATTTGTTTTTTAGTTTGAACTTGCAGTTTGTTCAGCTCAACTGCGAATGAGTACTTTACATTTCGAGTTACATTATTAAAGTAAAGAATTGAGGTGAATGTTGATTAATTAAAAATTATTTGTTTTATTTTTCTGAATATCATTTAAGTAAGTTCAGAATAATTAAAAAATTTATATGCATTATACAAATAATGAAATGATTTAAGCATGTATAATCAGTCGAAATGTTCTGAATGTCTTTGAATCGAAGTTGTTTTAACAAACTGGTTATATTATTACCATAAACGGTATTTTTGAGGTATCCTCGAAGCCAAAAATCACATGGATTAAGATTTGGTGACCAAGGTCATTAAAGGGGAAATTAATAATCTTAACATTCTGTAAAACGTATCTATGAAAATCTTTTAACACATGTATGTTGAGGAGCCTAATATGCAATTTTGTTGAAGATCGCATTCCACCAAATTTCCTAACATGCATTCATATGATGTATGTGAAGGAACGGGCTTTGACTGGTAGCTCATTAAAGGTTTTAATTATACATATAACATTAAAATCATAGTAAGCTGTCACCTTAAGTGCATGCAACGAAATTTCATATACACTAGGATTTACTCAACATTATGTAAGTTGACGATCTTATGGGCTTCATCGATCCACAAGATACACTGGAGCCAATTATTTCCAATCTGCAATCTTGCAAGAAACTACAATGCGGAAGATATTCTTCGAGCAGGTATGGTATAATGGTATCATGCAGCATTCAAACATTCAGTATTTCAGTATCAATCTGTAAGGATAGAAATAAAGAATTGTATAAACAATTTTGTGTATATTAATTATTAATAATTCTAAAATATTTACTGTTGGAGATTTATGGATTGCGAGTCAAGCTATAAACACGTGTTCTCAATGATATCAGAAAACACGTAGTAATGACTTTTAATTTTTTTGTAACATTGAATACCTTCTCATTTTTCACATCATTTTCAAATTTGCATACTTTTCAACCAGCCTTTTTACATTTTGTAAGAGTTTCAAAGTGAAAATTTAATTATGATTACATCCTTTGTACCAGTAATCAGTTGAAAAGTTTTTATGTTATATCCCATTTTAGTTATATGTTATATCCCATTTTTATGTTATATTGTTCTCTAATCTACAATAAATGTAAATATGTATTTTTATATAACATAATACACATGTTATATGTTCTTAAACTATACGTTCTTATTCTATATGTTCAAGTTATTAAATTAATACTAAAGAGATAGCATAAGATTTTATTTAATTACGATTGATATTTTAAAATATTTATTATCATATTAAATATTTAAGGAAACAATAGTTTAACTATACTGATGTTCATACCTATATTGATATTCTTTATCGGCCAATACATATATTATTTCATAACATTAAAAGCCAGCATGCATTTAGCCAAGTTTCATTCGGATTAAAAAAAAAAATTTTATTTCAAAGAACTGTAATAACATTCCCAATTATCTTGTCAGTATGGTCTGATTAAAATTCTAGGGAAGCATGGCTTTTGTGTTGCAATATTTTATCGTCAACACCCTTTGAGACAGAGATCTGCAAGATGTGGTTCATCGCATAACTCAAATGCAATGTTGCAATCTGGTAATTTTAAATACTTAACATTTGTAAGAACTATAGAATAACTACATTTGTGTAGTCACAGAGAACCACTATTTTTTAAAAATTCCATTGGCAAAAGAAAATGGCAAACTCTTACGAGATCAAAACAGTGTAAAACACGAAGTAAAATAAAACAATAAGAGAAAAAAGTCAATATCTCATCAGCAAAGTTCTAGCGTTTTAATATTTTTTCACCACGGAGTTCCCACGCAAGGCAGGTGATTAGTATGTGGCTATGTGGTTGGTCTCTGTCCGTGATCTCCTCTTTCCCACTGAGCGGAAATTTGGGCTATAGTTGGCAAGGGAATGTTGAATCTCAGCTTTCTTAGATTGGGATAGGCCACCGGCATTCCATTGTAAGAGACTCAGTCTACATTAACTCCAAAGAAGCTGATCACTCTTGGAGCATTGCTGCATGGCAATAGTAGTAGATTAGTTGCCTAGGACTTTACCAGGATGCATCATGTGGAGGTAGATCTACTGTCGCATACCCACAAAGAATAACTATGAACATTATATGTATAGAGAACAACTATACGGCCAACCATGCTGAATATACCGGTTCTCGTTAGATCACCGAAGTCAAGCATCATTGGGCGCGGTCAGTACTTGGGTGGGTGACCACCTGGGAACACCGCGTGCCGTTGGCAAATTTGGGACCTGAATGGCCGAGTGTCTGGCGCTCAGTGCCACAGGTTTCGGGTTCGAATCCCGGCGGTGCCATGGATGTTTGTAGTGGTTCGGAATCCACTTTAAGCCGTAGGTCCCGGTCTCATATGACTGTAAGAGCGTCACGGAGCAAAAGTCAGGCTTCTACCTACGGGTGCTCCATCACAACAGAAGCTGCTTGCTTCCCCTTCAATCATGAGTACGTATGGGCTCGTGGGCTTGGCCAGCCAAGTGGGATAAGAAACAACAACAACAACAAACAACAACTATGAATATTATATAACGGTTTACTGGTGAAGTGAAATTTAAATTTTGAAACTACTAATGATTCACCTATCCGTTTTCTGCTCATTTTAGGACAATTAACTAAACTACCCAGTTAAGGGATATATTATGTAACACTAATATATTATACCATTATATTAATATATGTATCTATAAACATCTACATAATAACAAAATATATACATGTTTTGATGAGCCAAGCTAAGTGGTCTCTTAGATTAAGTAATGAGATTTTTCATCCGACAAACTGTCCGACAGCGAGAACTACGATGTAAAAGTTCTGTCAACACAAAACAAAATATGAGCAATTTGAACTCTTTCCTTCTTTTACGAAACTAGACCCTAGTTTGTTATTTCTACTCTGCCATCATTGTAAATGTCAAGGGCTTATAACCTCTTTTCGAATACATTTCCACGATAAATTGCATTCAATGTACGCTGACGTCATTGAACTAACGACTATTCGAACAAAGAGAGTACCTTGGGGGGTATATCTATTACATCATTCGATACTGAAAGCTAGTCAGTATTGATTTTGTTTCAGACCATTACCGTTATTTCTTCCACAGTATTCTTAATAAATCAAAATAAGTATCTAATTCTGATGACAGAAAGTACTCACCAAAATGGTTCTAAAATACGCGGAAGAGAATAAAGTAGTTGGACATCGTTTTGTTTTGTCTCAACTACACTAAACATATGATATTCTTTCGCAATCATCTTCTATCAGAAGATGGCTGCTGGATAAATTTATTCTCTTAAAGGAAAATCAATAAAATTATCCGGAAATTGAAATTGAAACATTTTAGGAAGTGATGATATAAAATGAATCAAAATATTCTGTTTATGTGATAATTCACAAATTTAATAATGAGAATGAATTCCATTTCGTTTTTTGATGAAATTGTTTAATTTTCTGTTGGATTATTCGTAGATAATTAATTCTACCGTCAATTGAAACTTGCATAATTGACTATTTTTTATTATTCATTATAAATTTAAAATCACTTGTTTATTAAGCACTTATCTATTCATTAAAATGTATTCTTGTTGAACAAAATTCGTTAAAACAAAAGTAATAAAAAATTCTTTATATGTTTATATGCTATGAAATTAATTTCAAAGCATTCAAATTATTTATTAATATATGCTATTCTTTACGATATGGATAATTTAATCAAAAATTATTTAATTATTATTAAATATAATAAATATAATAATATTTATTAGAAAGAAATAAAATTTGTTAAAAAAAATAGTCTTTAACAATTCTTTATATGTTATTAAATTAATTTGAAAGCTCTCAAATTATTAATGTATGCTATTCTTTAAGATACGGATAATTTAATTAAAAATCCATTAAAGTGCATATTTATTAGAATGAAATAAAATTCTTTAAAACAAAAATGATTCCTTTTTTTAGCAATTCTTTATATGTTATTAAAATTTCAAAGTATTCAGATTATTTATTAATATATGCTGTTCTTTAAGATATGTATATTTAATTAAAAATTCTTTAAAATGCATATTTATTTGAAAGAAATAAAATTCGTTAAAACAAAAATGATAGAAAATTCTTTAATAACTCTTTATATATTATTAACTTAATTTCAAAGCATTCAAATAATTTATTAATATAAGATTTTGTTTAAGATATGGATAATTTAATTAAAAATTCTTTAAAATCCATATTTATTTGAAAGTAAAACTTAACGTGATTAATTAAATATATTTGAAATTTATTCATTAAATTAATAGCACTTGACTAATAATGTTAGTGTTAATAATGTTTTTCAAGCAATTCTAATTTTCTCAACGAATTACTTTATTATACAAAATTTATATCAAATTTTAGAAAAAAAATTGTATTTGTGGAAATCGAACTTTTACTTTTCAATGATACTTTTTTTTGAACGAAACGCTATTCTTATTTGAACAGTTTATATATTTTTTTTTTCCATAATGTTTGAAAGTTGCGTGATTCATTTATAAATATTGCTTCATTGTATAAATATCTTTTTTTTTTTTTTTTTTTTGAAAATTTTGTCATCTGTTCCGAAAAAGAAACTTTTTGGTGAAGAAGTCATGTCAAAAGAATATTCTAAACTTTTCTTAAAAAAAAAAAAACGAAAGTTGTGTCAAAGGAATATTTTTTTGCTTTTTATAAAAACCAATGCTGAAAAGTTTCCCAAAGAAATGTCAAAAAAATATTTTATGCATTTAATCTTCGTAGCATAAGTTTACTTTTTTTTTGACATTAGTACACGCGTGAGACAATTTGACCTCAAATTTCCGAATTATGCATTCACAAACAATAGGTTTGTAAAAGCAAAATTCTACGTTTTCTTATCTTGTACGTCTGGAGGTTCGTGTTCTACTAACGTAGTGGTTCTCAAGCTTTTTGAAATCGAGGCGCATTTAAATCCAAAAAATAATTGCAGGCACACTATATACAAATTTCCGAGAAATATGTTGTAGTAATTAAGTAAAATAAATGCTACAGAAAAAAATAATGCGATAAAAATATATAATAAAACGCACCTTAAGTTTATTCATTATGAGAAACATGAGCCTGATTTGATTTGTCGCTCTAAGGTTATTTTTTGCACATTTTAAGATAATTAGACCGGAATCTACAGTTTAATGTGGATTCCTAACAACAACTACTACACGACACCACACCACACCACATCACTGTGCCTAGAGCTGAGTTGCCCCTATACAGTTTGGGAATGATGTGGGTGAGAGAAGTCTGATTGGGCTCCGTGACGCTCTTACATTCATATGAAACCAGAACTTGTGGCTTAAAGTGGATTCTGAACTACTACAAACATCCATGGCACCGCCAGGACTTCGAACTCGAAACCTGGGGCATTGAGAGCCAGAGTGCTAGATACTCTGCCATTCAGGTCCCTAAATTCCTAACGTCTATCAATGCCAACTCCAGAATTCAAACCTGAAGCCTATGGTACCAAAGGCCAGAGCGCTAGCCTATTGGCCATCAGGCCACCACATGAGCATGAAGTGTCCTGCCGATGTCTTCAATGTTTTGGCATATATTTGAAAGGCAAATTCTCATTTTATTTTCAATACATTGAAGATTTTCTCTCCTTTTACATTTTATTTCGGTGAGGGTAGAAAATATTAATTCAAATAAATATGACGTTAAAATGTTTTAAAGCTATTTTAGATACTAACGCGTATTCTCATATTATAGAAATACACAAGTTTTTAAGAGACAATTCTTTATGTTTAATCCTCATTCTACAATCAGTGGATATAACTACTACTTATTTTTACTTCAGTTAACGTTAGATGATCAAATACACAGAGTACTACTTACAGATGGCGGGCTGCCTGATGGCCAATTGACTAGCGCTCTGACCTTTGGTGCATCAAGTTCGAATTCTGATGTTGTCATGGATATTTATTCGTGATTCGGAATCCACTTAAAATAGTAGGCCCTGGCATAATTAGTCTACAAATGCGCAAAAATGACCATAGAGCGACAAACCAAAGCATAAAATCTGCGGAATCTGCAATAGAAATTTTTTTTAACATTGGAAATTACATAGATTCTAATTCTTCTAGTAGCCACCCTAGCTTCTCGGAAACATTTTTGTCAGCATTATGTAGCTGTTTGGCGACTTTTTATGTGGATAAAAGAATAAATAAAAAGAAACCAGAAAGTTTAGTTATTTAGTACACATATTTCTCTAAAATACCACAGTGCGCATCACCCTGAAATCTTTTAGGGCGTACCTTTTGGAAACCACTATACTAATGTATGCTAGCTCAAAGACGGTATGAAAGAGGACGATTCTTCCCGAGAGTTACATTGTATTATTATTGTATCTAATAAGTGAACAATCTTACAATAAAAACAAGTTTTCTATACCCATTTTTTTCATTACGGTTTCAATGGAATCTGAACTCTTATTTTGCTACTCTTGGAAACATTTGTGAGATTTTTAAGTCTTGATGTTAAATGAATGAAACACATATACAAGTGGAAAAGACCAAAAAGTCAGACTTTAAATTTCCAATAACCTAAAAACTAGGCGCTCTGAAATAAATGGAAAAGGTTCATTCTTCAAAATTCTTATTCTACTTTTCCCTATCATTGAAACACTCGGACAGGTACAGAAAATATGCCATTTCCAGTTTTAAAATTTTCATTAAAAGAAGAAATGCTTCCTTTTATTTTTACTTGAAATTTGAAATACCGCATGCTGTTGTCCCAGTAATCTTAAAAATCAATCGATTCATTAAATTTGATTTATACGATTCTACAATATACATATTTTTCAGATTTATGAGGTTTTTGTGATCCTGACTGCTTCAAACTGAAGCAAGCTACTAAATTAAATTTTGTTTTATCAGTCGAATCTGTATTCTAAAATTTCACGTCTCATATGGCATGTTTTATGACATCGAAAATTTTATTTACTGCCTCAATATACATATAGAAAACTCGAAGTAACTTCCCTTTTACCAGCACAATAATACCTACAATTTTCTATACATCACTCATACAAGTATGATGGGTATATATAGATTAGAATATTAAAATTTATTAATAAAAGTAAGTGCATATAAAATGTAATTCAACGGAAAAAGTATAACTCTCTAAGTAAATGAATCTTTCAGACCAGAACAATCGAAGATTACAGGATTATCTTAAAGAAACAT